TGGTACATCGCAGTCACTGAAATTTCATTGGCTTTGAATTTGTGCACAAACTTAGTTTGGTGTTTATTCAGTTTTCTGCCATGCTTTGCTGAAATGTTTATTCTTTAAAAAGGCTTTTGAAGTGAACTGAAAAATTCCCATTTTGAGAATAATATTAGAACACTGGTTTCCTAAATACTGAAAGTATTAAAGGGGCCTGTAAATAATTATAATTGGCAGAGCATTCATACTCATTCATGTTTTATAATTCTGTACACAAAATTACTAGGAATTGGCTTGGGTTGCATTAATATGAAGTATTTAGGCATACTATATATGCCAAACTGACTACATCTGTGAAAATATGATATTTTTCTGGTCTGTCATAACTAAAGAACTTTGCTGTGAGAAGGCTATTTTGGTTCCTTATATCATTGTCCACCAATTTAAAACTCTATGAATATCTTTATACATTTTGTTTATCTTTTGGGTTGAATTTTTTTAAATTACTTCCACACTGGTTATTTCCTTCTTTTACATTTTGCCCCCACCCTCCTCAAAGAGAGTAAAAGTTGTTACTACCTCAGGGGCTGTCCCAAGGATTAAGTAAGGTAGATACTAGACCTAGTGCATATTAGAACATAACAGACACTCAATTTCAGCAAAAATTGTCATAAAAATATTTCTGTCCTTGACAAATTATTCATAAAAGAGGTGCTTAAATAACTTACCTTTTTCTCTTAGAAAAAGAAAGTAATTTTGAATCATTTTCTCTACTTTTTTTTTTAACTATGGTAACTAATTCCAAAAGTGGTAGACATCAGTAGTCATGACATTTTTAGCTATTATTTATGTTAGGTATATGCATATATGACATGATGGTATATGAACCTTCGTCAAATGTGATTGAACAAAAATAAACGTTTTGATACTTAGAGATATTTGGCCATAATGACATTGTATAACAGATAACCTTTCTCACTTAAGATATTTTCAGAGGCTTTCAGAACCTAACTTCAGTTGATATGATAAACTCTGTTTTACCCTTTACTCTATTTCCAAACATTATAATATTCCAGAATTGTTTCAGTCACATTCATTATGCAAAATCCTGAGAAGAAAATCATTAAGAAAGTGTCAGTAAGTGTATCAATGTAGGGTTTCTATGTGACTTGTACATTTTGGTGAAGTGTATTGGACCAGGTGGTTTTTCATTTGCAGAGTAAAAGCTAAAGTCTTTACTCATAGGCCTACAAAGCTTATGTGATCTGAACACACCTGAACCAGTTCCTCTCAGGCTTTTTTGCCATTATTTGTCATCCCACTCACTAACAGCTAATCCCGTTGGCCTCGCTGCTGTACTTTAGCCTAGAAGCCTTGTGTTGGTTTCCCTGTATGCTGGCTTTCTCACTTCTTTAAGTATTGGCTCTCACTTCACCTTTTCAATGCAACTACCTATTCACTGTAATTTCTATAGTGAAATCAGTATATCTCTTCATCTCCCTTACACTGTCCTGCTTTTTTTTTCCTCCTTGAAACACGTTTTGACATTTGCTTCCTAGTAAGTGACTAAAGGCAGTATGTTGAAAAAATGATGTTATAATACTACAATTTCGGTTTAGAGAGTGTTTTTTCCAAAAAGTTACTTTTGCATCCAAGCATATAAATAAATTCATTCATCTTCTCTTCATCTCTGGTTAATCTGAATAACCCAGTTTATTAATGAAGACCAGAGCAGGAAATGTGAAATGGCTTACACAGAATCACACAGAAAGTTGGTGGAGCTCCTAAGAAAAACACCCAAATGTTCTCTTTGTTCAATGCGTAATCCTGTGTAGAACTGTATTGGAGGTTATCTCTCCTTATTAGAAGTTCTCACCTCATCTCAGTTCATACCCAAATGGCAAAGGAAATCAAGAGATAAAATTTAACCAGGCTTTTTATAACTTCTTTTTTGCTTTTCAAAAATCTGAAGATGAAAAGTATTATTTTTAGAGGATGAGAAAGTGGACAAAAAGTTTCAGACTGTTATCTTCTGAACAATATTATAAGTCTCTTGTCTCAGTCTAGAGAGCAAGCATATTTTAAAATGACTAATTAAATATTGTGTCTATGGAAGGAACAATAACTTTTACAGCAGGTGAAAATAATGTGATAGAATGTAGGATGGGTCTGGGTAGGGAAGCGAGCTAATTTTGGCCTACTGGAACTAGTAGAGATTTTCCTTCCAACTCAGCAGAAATGTAGCTTTAAGAGCGTAGTGGCAGCTTTCCTTTCAGCTTGGAGATTTAAAGTTAAAGGTAACTGGACCAGTTTAATATGCAGGCCTGCCTGTGACCAATCCAGCAAGTTGTTCATTCTGTTCTTGCTGACGCTACTACCCTGCTTCTAAGTGGATGTTGGCTCTTGGGGTTTATGTTCTCTCAGCTTTAAAATAGTTATGAATCTTCTGAGAACTAAAACCTGGATATTTAGAGACCTTTTCTTTATGAGCAGACAAATTGCACTGTTGAAGGGGCTGAGAAAGTGAAGAAGGGTAGACGCCTTCCTCTGATCATTAGTTGATTTAGCTGACCCCATTTCCTTTCTTTTCCCTCTTTAGTGGCGGTTGTTCAAACTTTAGGAATAATTTAATTTCTTTTTTTTTTCGAGCCCACTAACATTCTTTAAGCTATGTAAAAGTTGTGAGTTTTTTTTCATGATATAGAAAGAGAATCTAAAAGAAAATAAATTCAAGTAACATATATGTTAGAGCTTGGAATATGGTTGTTCATTTTAGCCAATATAATTTCAAATAGTTAAAAGCACTGAAATGTATTTGTTTAATGAGTTCACATGCCTGAAAACTAAAATTAGATGTTTGGGAGAATGTGAGGAAATAAGTTTCAATTTTTCCCCTGAGCCACAGCCTTGCAAATTAAGGATCATTTTATCCTTGCTAATGGTACTAGATCATTTTATCCTTGCTAATAGAATTAATTTTTCTCCCAATTTAGTTTCTCCATCAATTATTCAGAAATTAAAGTTTATTATATTGTAATAATCAAATGTATCTTCTAATTAGAGGTAATTTTCAGAGGAAAGATGAGATTTTCTTCTACCTTTACCACCCTTCCTCCCCACTGCCTGCCCCTCATAAAGAATTGCCTAGCTTGGATAATCACTTTAAAGTCATGTTCCTGAAGTTTGAAGGTCTTGTTGTTCAATGTGCTTTGACAAATTAATTTGTTTAAATTCAGTGCTTTGTGCCATTTCCATGAATTTTAGCTAATTATACTGCCATATTTTTTTTTTAGAAATGTGCATTAGAAGTCATGTGTGCCTAATTCTGAAAATGGCTTTGTACATTAAGGCTCATTTAACCACTGATGGTTAGAAAGAATTTGAGAGACTTAAAGTTATTGGTTATAATTTTAAAACACATTAATAGCCTGGAATTTTGCTGTACTACAGGCATATAAGATGTTATGTTGTCAACCCCTCAGTCATTAGGAATGTGCAATTTGGCTTATGTCTTACTGGTTAAGATGTCACAGAGAAGATATATTTAGTCCTAGAAAGAAAATCAGTGTCCAGCATGCAAAGACAGTAATAGACTAAACACTTCCAGGTGGATTTTCATAGGAGGGATTGATTTGTGTGCATTACTGGGTCTGTGTAAAATGGTGTCCTTTTGGCACTAGCTGAATATAAATTTCAGTAAATGTTTTTTCTTGCTGCAGGTTCGTGTAATACAGTTCAGTTTTCTGTAACTGAGGGAAGGCAGCGGCTGGGAGTCTGCTAATAGCCTGAAAGTAACTAATGAGGATGTGCAGTCTGAAGGATTGATTGAATAGCTGCAGTCCTGTGTGTTTCTTTCTCGCTTGCTCTCTCTGCAAGCTGTAGAGAAGGAGGGGGAAGAGCAAGACACAGGGAGGGAGCGAGAGAAAAAAACGCTTTCTCTTAAGTGGAAGTAGCACGGATCCCAAGGGCTAGGAGGCCAGAAATGCAAGTTTAAATTGCATCTATCTTTTAAAGGGAGAACAGCAGGAATCAAAATGTCAGTCTCCGGAGTCACGATTTACTCCTTATTTTTTAAGATCTGGAAGATAACACAGAATACTTTTTTTAGGATGTGTTTTTTTTTTTCTTGTTCATGTTGAGATTATCTAATGTTATCTGAGAAGCTGGATTCCTTTATGTCTGTCAGTTGAAGTGGAGATGGGAAACAGTTGTGATAAAGGTATAATATGTATATATCTGTCATCTGTGTGTGTGTGTGTATGTGCATATATATGCATATATATATCACTGAAAATTTTTTTTGTAACCTTAATGTAATATAGTAATAGTAATTAATTTGGATAATATCATGTCGATGTTTCTGCAAAATCCAAAGCTTATTAGGTCAGTTTGAACAGATTTAGGATTCCAGAGGAAGATCTTAGTAAGGTTATATTGCCAGAACAAGGAGAAGCTCATCTATTTTTGTATCTGCATAGGCATATATGTTATTTTACCCCAGCAGCAGCAGCTTTCTGTCTTCTCATGGCCCTTTGGTTGCAGTCTGGTGAATCACCTTATCTGCACATAATTGAACTTTGACCTTTGCACACACCATCCAATCATGTGCAACACAAGACTATATTTTGTTCACTAGAGTATCAAAGATTTCACTGGATTCTTTTAATTCCTATATTGCTAACAAAGAAGTAGATTCATACACCATGAGATGCAAATATTAAGTGAATTTACAGATATTAAACATAGCTCGGAGGAAATTGCTATTTGTAATTTCCTATGTGCACAGATAGATATAAGCTGTCATGTTAAAGCAGATTATCTTAACTCTGACAAAGTCTCCCTAGTGTCTTGATAGTTCAGACACCACAAAGATAGAGAGAAATTGTGTGGAGTAAGAATGTAATGCACCTTTAAAGAAAACTGATTTTTTTGTGGGTGGGGGTAAGCAATAATTTTACAATTTAGTGGAAGATCCTAAATTTTGGGCTCTTAATGATGTTTGTTTCTTTCTTTTTCAGAGGTGCCGGCAGAAAGGTCCCCCCGCAGACGGAGTATCTCAGGGACCAGTACATCAGAGAAACCCAACTCCATGGATACTGCAAATACCTCACCCTTCAAAGTACCAGTAAGGGTTTTCCTTTTCTTCTTAGAGTTAGAGATAGTTGCTAAAGAATCAAAACACTTTGCTCCTCAAGAATTTCTTTCCAATATTAAGCTTAAAGGACTGAGTTGTATATACATTCATTTATGTAGATTAAAACTGTGGCTAATGTCCACTATTTTCAGTATAAGGTTTGTTAGGTTTTAGGGACTGTTATTTTCACTTGTGGGATATTTCTAAACTATGTAATGGAATACATTGAATTAAAATTCCTCTGAACTCTAGAGTGTAAATCTTTGCAGGATGTCCTCTTATCAAGTAACTGGCTAAAGTCTATCACAATTCTCATGATAGGTGCTGGTGGGATTCTTTTTTTAGAGAAAGGATGGGGGATATGATTTTTTTTTTTAATTTTCCAGACCTAGAACATAAGCAGAGAATGATGAGAGCAAGGTATCAAAGAATTAGACAGTTGTGAATTCTAATCCTGAAACCTGGCCTGTTCTTTGCTTAAGCCACCTTTCAGATGATGATCTAAGTGTTTAAGAAATAGGCTGGAAGAAATGCCCTAGTTTAAATACTCCTTAAACTGATAAGGCAGTACCAAGTGTCGGTATTAAGTGCAAAAGAATGCTGAGATGGAAAGGCAGTAAATGATCAGGTCAGCTGACCACCAGTTGCAGGCCTGGTTTGGACCTTTCTTTATTTACTGAATAAAAATTAAAGTTCTTAATCATACCATTTTATCAAAATTCACTGTTTTTAAACTTGAAGAGAATTACTTCCATGAAGCTGTTCATTATTGTAGGTACAATGGAAATCAGTAGTATAAAGCAGAAATAGACTTTTCTATTGAGAAAAAAATATTTTTTCTTTTAATTCAGTCAAGTTAATATGTTGTATTCTGTATTTATTTATGTAGTACAATACTTTTTCTTTTTAAGTTGGGGTGACCTTTTAAGTAGAACTGATATTTTGAGATACAGAAGCTGGCATTTATTTAAAGTTAACTGAAATGAATGTTTACTTTGGATTAACACTAAGGAGCAAGATTTCCCCTTACTGTATCCCAGTACTTCTTAGAGTTTGTGGTTATCTGTTACTGTGGCGTCTTTCAAATTTTTATAAAGTGTCTTATTTTTAAATATAACAACTAAATATTGGATTAATATTCTAAGCAAGTTATGACAGGAGTTTTAAACTATCAGATTTATGCCTTTTACTAAATTTCTTTGTTCCATAAACATGCTACCTATTTAAATCTTTTCTTTTTCTCACAAATGGAAAAAGCATTTTTTCCTCTCCCCTTCTTGTTTTCTTGGTGAGATAGAAATCAAATATACTGAACCTAACTCTCCATATGCAGAGTCTGGTGAATAGGATTGAGTTAGAATTTGAAGTTTTCATACCATCATGCTAGAAAGGACTGGTGAATTCTTAAAAAAAATTTTTTTAAGTTAATAACTGAAGAAGAATATCCCTTTGTAGTATGGTAACATTAAGTACCTCCTATATTGAATCTGAAGTTCATGGTGAGCTTTTAAAATTTTAATTAATTAGGAACAACAGTTTTCACTTAGATTTAAATAACAAGGTGAGCAGCTAATTTAAGGTTTGTCTTAATAATTCTTGAGTAAAAGTAGTGAACCAATGATGCTTATACGTGGAAGGCTAGTACTACTTACAAACCACTCACACAGTTGTTATTCTTCTGACAATCTCAGCACCTCATGGATTTAGAAATACTGAGGCAAAGAATGGGCTTCTGATGACTAGCAAATTGCAGTCACAAAATCCATGCCCTTAGCTCTCCAGGAAAATTTAACCATTCACAAGACCTCACCTATATGGTTATTTGAAAAATAACCATCAGAACACACTGATTACAATTTTAAAAAGACAGTGACTTAGAAGGAGGAGGCAGAGAAAATGAAAAGCAAGGAGTCATAAACACAACCTGAATCCACTTAGGATAAAGGCAAATGGCCTTATATTTACCTGTATTCCTTAAGAGTTACCATGGTATCACTTGATGGATGGTACACAGTACAGTAATTGTCATTGGTAATAATGATCCTGAATCATCAAGAAAAAGTGAAATTCTATTTGTTGTGCTGGCTTTTTAAAAAAGTGGAACTTTGGCATACATATGGCATGATACATATCCATAGAGAATATTTAACATCTTAAAGATACATGATGCTCATAAAACTTGTTATCTAGAAATATCTGATTTGTGCTGTATTTTATTCCTTGATAATGGCTGGATAAATAATTTATATTCTTTTAAGAGAAACCAAAATATGCTGGCTGATTGAGGTGCTGCAGTACTTGAATGTCTGTGGAAGTACATTGTATTTTAAAAATTTCCATATAATACTAACAGCTAATGTGACACACATCACTTAAATGTATTGCCGATAAGAAGTATGTCTAGTTTTCAGAACAGCAGAAAATATTTTTGTAATTAACATCACAATGTATTCTGAATATGGGAAAGCAGTACAAAAAGGAACCAAACCTTGAGAAACTTAACTTGTTATTACTATACAGTATCTCAAAGGTCATTTCCATGTTCACTTTATGAAGCAGTAGAAGTGAGATTTAAGCCTAAGTACTTGTGGCTCTGGGATTAGGTGTCTTTACTGTGTGAACAGCATATTCACTACTCATCAGGTGGATCCAAAAAGGAGCTAGTAGTGGACTCTCCAAAAGGGCCTCATTCTTCCTAGCTCCATTTTCAGGCTTACTGAGAGCAGATGAAACAGGTTTTAGCAAGCCTTCACTGAAATTATTGACAATGACACACTTATTGAGCACTTATTTTAGGCAAAGTATTGGTAATTCACCAATTATTAATACTTCTTGGCACTCTATTTGGTACAGGGAAAACAGAAATGAACACAACAGAATTTTCCACTCTCAGAGAACTTACGTCTATAGCAAGAGACAGAAAAATGACCAGATTCCCAAGGAGGTAGAAAACACGTAACACAGGGGTTTAACAATGCACCATGTAAGCTGAGGCTTTGCCGGGGAGTCAAGGGCTGAATAAAAATAATTGACAGGGGAGGAAGAGCATTCCAGACTGAGGGACCAGCATTTTAGAAAGATACACTTCATAAGGTGACTGATGGTTCCAGAGGATGTAAGAAGGGTTCAGTGAGGCAGGAATTGAAAAGTATGTAGGCAAAAATGGCAAGAGAGAAGGCTGGAGAGATAGGTTGGGGCAAGACTGTGAGGTTTGTTTGTCAAGCTTAACTATATACATATATATATATATAGCTGGTCACTAAAGCATTAGAGATTTCTTTATTGAAATGTTTGTCTTGGCTGCAAAGCTAAACCAAGTTGTATAAATACTGTGCAGTATTGGTAACTTACTTGACTCTTCCTCAAGTGACACTTTTTCCTCTTGCTGTCTCTATTTCAATTCAGGATGGATAGGTAGGTAAGGTGCTATCATTCCATAGAAGGCCAGCCCCGCACCCACCCCTGGCTATCAGCTGACACTACTGATAGTTCTAGAGTAGTGGTTAGCCTTAGGAAGACCCAGGAGAATCCAGTGGGTAAGAGTTGCTTATATCCTGCTGACTGCTGTTAGCTAAGGCAGAAAGGAGCCAAGGAGTAATTATAGTAGTGAGGCCAAAGAAGGGAGGCCCAAAACTTTTTGTTTGTTTGTTTGTTTTATTAAGGTATTGTAGATATACAATCTTATTAAGGTTTTCACATGAGCAACATTGTGATTACTACATTCACCCATATTATCAAGTCTCCCACACACACACCCTTGCAGTCACTGTCCATCAGTGTCATAAGATGCTATAGAGCCACCACTTCTCTGTGCTATACTGCCTTTCCTGTGACCACCCCCCTACATTATGTGTGCTACTCATAATGCCCCTAAATCCCCTTCTCCCTCCCTCCCAACCCCACTCCTGACCCCCTTCCCTTTAGTAGCTGCTGGTCCCTTCTTGGAGTCTGCAAGTCTGCTGCTGTTTGGGGGAAGCCCAAAACTTTTGTGTATCTTCCTTATTTCCCCAAATTTTAATTTTGAAAACAAAGTGGATAACTAGTTCAGCAATGTATTCACATATACTCCTTACTTTGTCTAAGCCATCTTTTCTTTATGCAGATGGTAGACAGCCAAGTCAATAAGCTTTAAAATATGTACATAAGAAGTGAAAGAGGAAACTTATATGGCCGTGAACATATATAGGTTAAGGCAAAGTCTTGGTTTTTAAGAAAGTTTAATGTATTTGTACTTTTATCTAATCACAACCATAAGAAAAAGCAGAGATCTGCAGGAGACATTTTCTGTTCTTCCTCCACTCCCATTGCTGTTTCTTCACCTTATTCCAAATGCAATTATTTGTTCCTCATTAGGCAATAATTATCTCTTCCACTCATCTGTGTAGCTATCCCAATGCCACACACAGTACCCTGAATATAGTAAACACTCAACAAATAATTGCAGAGTAGATAAAATATGCATGAATTATCAAAGCCCCAGAATCTAGTGAGCCTCTCTCACACTTTTTCTCTTGGTACACTGGTACAATGACTCTAATAGAATAGATTACTAAACCATTTAATAACTGCTAAGAGATTATTTGGAATAATGAGTGTACCTGTGCAGAATTGTTACCTTTCTTTCCTCAACAAAGAAAGATTTCAATTTATATTTGTACAGGACTATTGTATTTTATGTATAGAGTGTATACTGTGTCTACTTATATTGGGAAGTGAAACTAGATAAGATTATTTAGTGATTTGTTTATCACTTATTTCTTTGATCCCTTTATGTGTCATACATATGTATAAGCTCACGATGTTTTTGCAGATCTAGGTTTTGACTATGAAATTCTTCAAGAACAATTTTAGTCATTTGAATAGTTTTAGCATCTTTTTAAAGATCCTATTTTTCATTTTTTTCTTTAACATATTGCTAGATTTTCTGCCTTTCTGATATTTGTGTTTTCCTTTAAATAAAACATCTATAGTATGTTTTATACATTGTTAAA